TTGCCGCCCTCTGCAACTGTGTGTGCCATTTCCTTGAGATAATTTTTTTTTTTTTTTCTCTCAGCTGCACTGGCCAGCTATCAAAATATCTATCAACTTCTCTAGCAAACCTAACCTAAGACAATACCCAAGACAACTGAAAATATGTTCGTGCAAAACCTAGTACATGAATGTTCACAGAAGCATTACTTACAATAACCAAAAGGTGGAAACATCCCAAGTGTTCATCAGCTGGTGAGTGGGTAAAATGTGTATCCACAAAAGAACTAATATTGTATTAGTATTTTACTAATATTGTAAAATGGTATTTATATGACATGTAGAATAGGCAAATGTATGGAGGCTCAAGTTTATTAGTGGTTACACAGGAGGGGAGAGGAGGAATCATTGCTCAGGGGCCAATGAGTTTCTGTTAATGGTGTGGAAGAATCTGGAAATGAACTGTGGTGACGGTTGCACATGATGAGCGTCATCAGTGCCACTGAGTGTACAAATAAAAACAAACTGCAGATGTGTTCTATTTTTTTTATCACAATGAAACAAAAAAAGTTGTGTAACCATACAATGGGACAACATTCAGCCATAAAAAAAAATGTGAGGATCAAGAGTTTTGCTTTGTTAGGCCTGACTCCATATTGTTAGACTAAAACTCCCTGTTTTCAATTAAGATGCCACTTCTTTAAAACCTGGCTTGTGTTAAATTTAACTTATTCTCTAAGTTACAGTCATTAGTTCCTGCTGCATCCTGTGATCTAAGACAGAGCCACCTGTGTCAATAAAGGCTCCTGGGCTGGACTTTTAGGACTGGCCACCTGGGCTTTGACAAAGACCAATGGAACCTCTTAAGGATTATCACAGAAAACATTCCTCTCTCCACTACCCATTGTTGTATCTAACTTTGGGAAAATTGTTAACTAATCCTGTATACATGCTGTGTGTCTTTTCCTTTAGTATAAGAACCCCTGATTGTAAACACTGAGCAGAACAGGTGTTTTTGGGGTCACTGAGACGCCATTGGTCTCTGACTGGAGCACCTCCTAACTAAACTCTCCTCCTTGAACTCTGGTGTGGACTATTGGCTGCACTGCTCCAAGGACCCCAGCATTTTTTGGTTATGAAAAGACCAAACCATTTGATGTGTGCTACGTTGTGGCTAAACCTCAAAAACCATGCTGAGGGAAAGAAGCCAGACACATATTGAGTGATTCCATTTATATGAAATGTGGAGAACAGGCAAGAAAGCCTATCAGAGGTGGCCAGGAGGAAGGGGGAATGCAAAGTGACTGCCAACAGATGCTGGGTTTCCATGTGGGTTGATGGAAATTTTTTGGAACTAGATAGAGGTGGCAGCTCCGATTCATAGCGACCTCCAGAAGTAGATTGCCCAGTCTCCCTTCCGAGGAGTAGCTCGTGGGTTTGAACTTCCAGTCTTCTGGTTAGCAAATACCTCAGGCACTATGCCACCAGAGCTCTCAGAAGTGGCAGTTGCACAACCTTGTGACTGCACTATAAATCAATGAATGGTACAATCTAAAATGATGACTTTTATGGCGTGTGAATGTTATCAAACTGTAGGAGGTGGCCAGGCACTGGGAGGAGGAAAGTGCTCAGGGCTTAGAAGGCAGCAGAAGCAAAGACACAGGAAACTGCTAACTGATGTGGGAGGAGAGCCTGGAGTCCACGAGAGCCTGGAGAGTGGAGGGTGTGGAACGGTAGAGGGTGAGGAGGCAGAGCGGAGGCCCTGCCTGCAGCCCCCACCACTGGGATGCGCTCTCTTAACCCCAACTCACCCTTTACACTCTCTAGCAACTTCTTCCTCACCAGCCACACACTTGTTAGTCCCTGCCTCTTAAGGCCCCCAAGCAGATACCATGCTGGGGTGTTTCTCCTTCTGCATCCGAGGCACAAACATCCCCTCATTGCCTCTTGGTGCAAATGCTTCCAGGGTCCACTATAAAGGGCTTGGAGCAGGATGACTTCTGACCCTCAATTCCCCCTGGTTTGCCCTGAGGCCTTGGGACAAGTCACAGAACTTCTCATTTTGGGCAGATCAAAAATATAGAGCTATCAAGCCACAAAAAGACTGAGAGGAACCATAAATGCACATTGCTAAGGGAAGAAAGCTGCCTGAAAAGGCTACGTACTATGATTCCACTATAAAATGTTCTGGAAAAGGCAGAACTACAGTGAAAAGGTCAGTGGTTGCCAGGGGTTCAAAAGGTGAAGGGAGGGACAAGGAAGGGCACACAGAGCACTTTCAGGGCAGTGCAGCTATTGTGCATGATGCTGTGATGGGGGCTCGGGACATCATGCATTAAAGCCCATAGGGCTGTGCAACACAGAGTGAATCTTCATGTAAACTGTGGCCTTTAGTTAATAATAAATGATGTGCCAAGACTGGGCCATCAATTGTAACAAACATACAGGACAAACGGTACTGGGGGAGAGGGATAATGGACACTCTGTATTTCCTGCTCAACTTCTCTTTAAACCAAAATCTGCTGTTAAAAATAGTGTATTAATTTAAAACAGACAAGACAGCTTGGTCTTGGTAGTCAGGATCGTTGTCAGCCAGGAAAAACCAAGCCCATGGCCACTGAGGTGATTCAGACTCAAGGCAGCCCTGTGTGCATCAGAGAACTGATCTGAAGGGTTTTCCAGGCTGTGATCGTCATGGAAGCAGACCTCCAGGCCTTTCTTCCACAGCAGTGGTGGGTGGGTTCGAACCATCAACCTTTAAGTTAGCAGCTGAAAGCAAACTCTTGGTGCCACCCAGAGACACCAGCCAGGAGAGAACTTCTTAAGCTTCTTCAGCTAGTCACAGGCTATGGGACAAGACAGATCCCCACTGGGCAACTTTCTCACCAGGAAACCTTGGCAACAACTTCATTCCCTTCCCTGTGCCCGAGTTTCCCAATCCATACAATGTGGGAGGTGCCTGTGAGGTCTAAAGAGACGTTACCCAGAAGGCACACCCAAGGCTTTCTGTCATGCTAACCACAGATCCTCCTCCCACTGTGCCATCTCGCAGGCTCCAGCCCGTATCCATCCCTTCACAGACTGTGGAGTCCAGGACCAGACCACAGGCTGTTCACTCATTACCTGGGCTGGCTGAGGCCTTATTGCCCCACCCCCTTTCCTTAGGATCCTCCTCCCAGCAAATTCCCCATCATCACAACCCGTCTCCCCTTGTCATCAGATGTACCCTTAGGTGAGGACAGAATGAGGCAGCCATAAGAGTTTGTACAGGGAGAAAGAGGGGATATAGGAATTCTCCTATCATGGAGGCAGTAATAGGTGGGAGTTGACAACATGGACTGCAGAGTTGGATGTCCTGGGTTCAAATCCCAGCTCAGGTGGCCACTTTCACAGGTCCAGCTGTTCTCACCCAGAGCTATGACTACACTAGCTGCCCTATACACAAAGGGGCACCCAACTGGGGTGGTTGGCCATTTCAGGACACACCTCTATCCAGGCCAGCATGCTGCAACTGCTGAACCCACAGGTAGACCAGCCGCCATGCCTCTCTCGGGGCCATCAGGGAAGGTGCAGGGCTTTATGAGGCCCCAGGGGCTGCTGAGGCCTGCTCCCACCCTCACCAGAGTGGGGAGCCAGCCCACAAGCTCCCCATCCTGAAGTCCCCCTAGTAGCCCTTGCAGGTGGATGAGGGGGCAAGTGGCACAGGAAACAGCTATGTTGTCTTTTGCTCACGTCCAGCAAGCTTATGTCCCCTCGAGGGCCACCTCTGAAACCCAGAAACTAGCCTGTGCCAGGTGGGGACAGTAAATGACTGGGCTCCTACCAGAGCCCAGGCTCTACAGGTTTATTTCTTAAACTCAACTAGTAAACAGAATCTTGGCACATGTTGGGCCAGCAGGGGTCTGGGTGGTTGGCTCCCATGGGTGTCCAAGATCAGCCCCCAACAAGGCTGGGGCGTGTCCAAGCCATCCTCTGGGTAGCCTGAATGTCACTACTGACACAGGGTCCAAGTCATCCATTGTGAGGTTGGTGGGGACATCCACAGGGGTCACCACCATGGGAACCCTGGGGCCCATGAGGTCATCTCAGATGCCCTCCCCCCTCCTCCAGGGCAGGAGGCCTCCTCTATTCCCAGAAGTGTCTCCAGGAGCCGCTCCAAATGGGGACACCCAAGAGACCTCCACCAGGGAGTGCATCTGTGTGGTCACATGGCCAGACCTCCGTGGCCTCCAGCCAGCTATGCCATCTTCTGGGCCCTCAGGCAGGAGCTCTATGGAGATGCCTGATGGGGACATCTGGGCAGGGCAAGCAGTAGTAATGTCCAGGCAGTCGTAGTCCATTATGGAAGCTTCTGGTGCATCAGAAGGGGCAGGCAGGGCCGGAGACCTGGCAGGGATAGGGATGTGCAAAAGGCCATTGGCCCCCGGATGAGATTTCCAGTTGACACGGGGGTCCCCTGCCAATGTCCTCCCCATTCTCACACACATGTGCAGGCACACACGCCTGGGTGGGCGGAGCAGATCAGCAGATATGTGTGCAGGGAGGGCTGGATGGCACAGTGTTCAGAAGAGTGATCTGATGGGACTCCTTAAGGCACAGCTGGGAGGGAGGGGAGATCATGGAAGGGGGTCACAGAGGAGGGGTGGGAAGGGTGTGGGGGAGTCCACAGGTGAGAGGAGGGGAGGCAAGGAGGTGCAGACACAGGGAAAGGCAGGGAAGCCACAGGTGGAGGCGGGAAGATCCACAGAAGCCCCAGGGCAGCTCCTAGGTTGCTTTTGTTCTGCTCTGGGAAGAAGAGAGGAGGCGGAGGCTAGAGAAAGAGAAAGGAGGAGGAAAGTAGGGAGATAGGACACAGAGGGAAACTGAGACCAAGACCCAGGGAGGAAAGAGGGGAGGCAGGGCTGGGTGCTGAGGAGTGGAGGCCACAGCGAGAGGCCAGGAGACACGCAGGCCCACAAGCGGTGGGGAGGGGATCCAGGGCTGGTGGGGAAGGGCCTGGGAGGGGCAGTCTGGGAGCAGGGTCAGAGTGCAAAGGCGCCTGAGCAGATGCGGCTGTAGATTCCCTCATCCAAGGGCAGGTAGTGGCCTTGCTTCAGGTCCAGGAAGAAGATCCGATCTGAAGTCTGGCGCGGGTCAAAGCCCTCACGCTGCAGCCGTGTCTTCTGGATTTTGAAAGTGCCTGTGGGGGAACCAGGGCTGGGGAGGGGGCTTCCAGGAGACCCCCAACACACCATCTTCCCCTGTGCCTCCTCCAGGCCTCTGCACAGGCCAGTGCCTAGGCAGGAAAATGTGTTCCCATTTGCCCATCTAATCCCCTTTCATGCCCCCTCCTCCAGGGAGACCTCCCAGACCACTCTTGTCACAGCAGGAAACTGCTCTCAGTCTGGTCACAGCTGCCACACATTAGAAGACAGTTCAGCAGACTATGACCCTTAGGCCAAATACAGCCCACCATTTACATCTGTAAATAAAGTTTCATTGGCACACAGCCATACCCATTTGTGTATGCATCACTGTGGTAAAAAGAGTTCCTTTTATGTGGCCTTTTTTTGTTGTTGTTCTTTGGGAAAGCACCTTGAGAAAAATTTCCCCTAAGCCCTGAGGAGTTACCTTTGCCCTAGTTTTCTACCCCAGAGGGTTTGTTCCTTTTGTCTAGATTGATTGACATTTTCTGGGCAAGCTGTAATAAATTAAAAACCCACTGCCATCGAGTTGATTCTAACTCCTAGCAACCCTACAGGACAGAGGAGAGGTGCCCCATAGAGTTCCCAAGGCTGTAAATCTTTACGGAAGCAGATTGCCTCATCTTTTTCCTGTGGAGGGGCTAATGGGTTTGAACCACCGACCTTTTTTGATTAGCAGCCCAATACTTTAACCACTGCATCACTGATGCTCGTTGGGCTGGTTCTATGAGGTCTGATATTTTTCATCTGGTTTCCAGTTTCAGCCTGCCTTGTACTAGTATGCACCTTGCAGGATTGGTCAATAGACTATGCAAGTGAGGTCTCTGTAAGCTACTGTGCAAATGAAGTGTCTGTGGCCCACTTAGAGAATTGGTCAGTTCATGGCCTGCTCCTGCTGGGAGGAGCCACACCTTGAAAGTGACAAGGGGTTTGTGTATTTAAGCAGCCAGCTGCCACAGAAGTTTTTCAGACAGAAGGACCAGGAAGAGTAGCAGCAAGAATGTAGTACAAGGAAGAAAGAACAAAAACCCAGCAGAAAAAGATGGGAGGCAAGGAATCTCCTAAAAGAGCTATAACAAGGCTCTAAGACTGTTGACAGTAAGGACAGAAAGGGCCCAGAGGCAGAGCTGATGGTGACAGGCCTGGAAGGGGTCCTGCAGAATTGGTGGTGACGGGGGATAGGGCCAAGAGGAGCCTGTCCTGCGTGGGCCAGAGGAGCCGAGAGAGCTGTCCTCCACGGAAGAAGGGAAGCTGCCTGATCCTCAATTATAGCCTAGTGATCCTGATCTCAGTCAAATCCTGCTACTTCCTTAACAAACATGGTCTGTGTGGCCATTGCTATGGATTACTGAGCCCAGAAGAGAAGTAGAGGGTGCCATGGGAGAGACGGCTGGTGTCAGAAGTGGTCAAGAGGTTGGAGAACGGAAGTATATCCGACCTCCACCTTACGGAAATCAGCTTTGGGCTGATCCTGATCACTGTCCCCCTTCATGTTAGACAGGTTCTGATGACAATCGTGTATGGCTCCTCCTTTCATGCTGTAACAACAGAGCTGAGTTACTGCACCACAGACCATATGGCCTGTAAAGCCGAAAATATTTCCTATCTGGCCCTTTATGAAAAAGTTTTCAAGCCTTTGCAGTAAATAAAACCAGTTGCCCCCTTGAGTCAGTTCTAACTCATGGCAACTCCGTGCATGTCAGAGTAGACCTGTGCTCCGTGGGGTTTTCAGTGACTGACTCTGGGGACGCAGATCTCCAGGACTTTCTTCTGAGGCACCCCTGGGCAGACTCAACCCTCCGACCTTTTGGTTAGCAGCCCAGCGCTGTTACCATTTGCCCCACACGGAGCTGGACCCCTGCAGTAGATGATTAAAGAACAGGTCTTTAAAAGATGACACTGAGGATCAGTGCCAACAGATGTAAGTAAGGGAGGGTACCTTTGTGATCTAGAGTTGGGAGGGTTTTCTATAAAAAACTTCAAAAGCACAAATCATAAGATTTTGTAAAAAGGCAAATTTTGTTCATCTTGAAATTAAGGGTTCTTTTACGCAACACTGTGGGCAAAGTTAAAAGTCAGACATAGGATAGGAGATGGGAGTTCCAATGTCTGAAACTGCTAAGGAATTAACATTGAGACTATTGTAAAGAACTCCTCCAAATCACAATGAAACAGAAAGAAACACCAAGGCACAGATGGGCGAAAGACATGAACAGGCAATTTGCAGATGAGGAAACACAAAAGACACACAAGATTTCCTCAAACTTATTAGCAAGTGGAGGAAATAGAGAAAAATAAAGAGATGTAGGCTTTCAGGAAGCCTAGAGGGAGTGGTAGTGTTTTATTCTGTTGGATATGGGGCCATAATGAGTCAGAGTTGACTCAACAGCACCTAACAACATCATCAGTGGGAGTGGGCGAGCCCCTGAGTATCAACTGTGAATGCGGTTGCCTGACAACTGAAAGGCCAGAGGCTCCAGTCCACCCCGGGAAGCCTTGGAAGAAAGGCCTGGTGATTACTTTCAAAAAATCAGCCACTGAAAACCCTCTGCAGCACAGTTCTACTCTGACACACATGGGGCCACCATGAGTCCCAGTCAATGTGACGGCAGCTGGGTAGTGGGAACGAGAAATGGAAACATTAACCACAGAAGCAGAACCATTATGTCAGCCTCAGCATGCAGGCCAAACTGGGAAAAATAAGCAAATGATTGTGAATGAACAGAGGAACACATTGACAGATGGACAGACAGAGGAAGCAGGCCTGCACCTGTGGTGTCCACCTGAGGCAGGAGGCGCAGGAAGATGGGCCGGGCGTAGGGCGCCAGCACCTTTTGCAGCTCCTGGTACAGTGCGTCGGGATTCAGCTGGCCCTGGGGGTCCGCGATGGCCGCCATGCCAGCTTTGCCCTCCACTCCTGAGAAAGAGGCTTGGCTGAGGATGTACTCTCACCCCGGCTCAAACAGATCCCCTCTACCTGTCACGGCACTGGCCAAAGTCTTGAACATTTTATCACGCATTCCCTGCAGCCCTTATAGGGGCTGTTTCCCTGCTGTTTTGTGGATGAGGAAACAGGTTCAACACCAGCATGAGGGTGGCTTCAAAGCCAGCACTCCCTACCAGGACCCCATGAGCAGTTGTCTGGGTTGTGCACTGCTCAAGGACACTTGTATCTCCACACCACTCTACCCAGGCATTCAGGGGCTGCCATACCCTGCCCTCCCCCCATATGCATCCTGGGATCACTCCTGCCTACAGCCTGACTTGCCTGGCACAGCCACCCCATACACGGCCACGTCTGTCTGACCAAGCAGGCGGCTCAGAACACCTTCCACCTCGGTGGTGGACACGTTCTCCCCACGCCAGCGGAAGGTGTCCCCACTGCGGTCCCGGAAGTACATGTAGCCCAGCTCATCCATCACCAGCACATCACCTGACAGGGGAAGAAGGGCTGGTGGGGCAGTGGGTCCCCCATACCCCGATTCCCTCTGCCACTCCCCAGTCAGGCAGACCAGGCACCTGAGAGGTAGGCGCTGTCACCCTTGCGGAAGACACTGTGGGCAATCTTCTTGTTGGTGGCATTTTCATTCACGTAGCCGTCGAATCGGCGCAGTGGGTCGTGCTGATTGATATGGCCCACTAAGAGGCCTGGCTCACCTGAGGAGGTGGCCCGTTCAGGCTGTGAGTGTGTGTGGGGGAGTGGGCAAGGGAGCCAGCTGGGTGGGGCAAAGGAATGGGGTGGTAGGGCAAGGGAAACAGGGCAGGAGGGGAGGGGTAAGGCAGCCCAAGGGTGGGCCGGAGTTAGGGCAGGGGAAGAGGTGGGTGCCAGGCTGGCAGGGGAATGAGGGGGCCTTGGGAAAGTGGAGGCACAAGGGAAGGTGGGCAGAAGGAGGGGCTGCTCACCAGCCTCACACGGGACACAAAGACCCTGAGCATCACGCAGCAGCTCCATCGTGTCCTCATTGACCTTCACCAGCCTTATCGGGTACACGTTGGGCAGGATGCGGCTGTTGAAGCCACAGGAGCCGACCTGGAGGGGCAAACCAGGCCAAGGAGGGAGGGTTTGGGGATGGCGTGGGGTCTTCTCCTCTGGTGCTGCCTCCACTGCCCCAGGCTGTGGAGCAAGCACCCCAGTGTCACCCAGCTGTGAGCAGTTTGGGTCATCTGTAAAAAGGGGGTGGTAAGTGTGGGTTACCCTCTCCCCCACAAAAAACCCTCAAGTCCTGCCTCCCACATCCTTGACCCATGCAATTGGCCCAGGGTTCCTCCATGCTGGCAAAAAGGCTGTGGACTCTGGAGGGACATGGGGCAGTGGCCAGGCCCGTCACTCTGCCCTGTCCTGTGGTCAGAAATGCAGTGTGGCACGTTGGTGTCACTATACACTGGTGGGCGTGTTTGTTACAGCGGTGACCTGTGCCAGCACAGCCAGTGTTCTCTGGAGCCCTTCCTTCTGCAGAGACGTGCAGGATGGGGTGGGGGCACGCCTGCCTCTAGGTGCTGGGGGCCCCACACAGGTTCTCTGGAGCCCTTCCTTCTGCAGAGATGTGCAGGATGGGGTGGGGGCATTCCTGCCTCTAGGTGCTGGGGGCTCCTAGAATACTGCCTGGGGCACTAGCTTTATCATCACTGTTCTTGGCCTTAGGTTGAAGGAGCCTGGGAAGGATGAGAAAGGGTCCCCTGGCAAGGTTAAGGCTGAAATGGACGTCAGAAGCGACTCTGAAACTTGCTGTTGAACAGGAAGCAGTAGTTAAAGTGAATGGAAGAAATGATGAAAAAAAAAGAGCATAACAGAAGATTTCAAAGGGCAGCTCGCCAAGACAACGTATTCTAATGAAAACGTGAAAAGATGTGGAGTTAGAAAATCAAAAAGGAAGAAAACACTTGGCATTCATTTCTCAAGCTGAAAGAAGTAAGAAAAATTCAAGCCTTGAGTTGCAATACTGAAGGGCTCTACGGGCAAAATCCATCACCCGTCTGTCAGTTTCTTATACTGTGGTGGCTTGTGTGTTGCTATAAGGCTAGAAGCTATGACACCACTATTGCGACTAACAGCAGGGTCACCCACGGTGGGCAGATTTCAGAGGAGCTTCCAGACTAAGACAGACTAGAAAGAAGGACTGGGCCATCCACTTCTGAAGACACTGGCCACTGACAACCTTGTGACAGCAGTAAAACGCTGTCTGGTCCGTTACTGGGTAACTTTATGAAGAGCAGTGAAGCATAGCAGGGATTGTGAGCATGGCGCAGTACCAGGCTGTTGTACGTAGGGTCACTACGAGTCAGAACCAACTCGAGGGCACCTAACAACAACAGCAGCCAATACTCATAAAAATGTCCCTTCGTAGATGCCTACAACGTGGGGTGTGGGGCAAAGAGGGATTACAACAACCTCACGAAACCGCTGACCCATCTATAGAGGAGAAAACAGGGTCAAAAGGGCACTCAGCCAGCGGGAGGAGGCCAGCCAGCCCCCAACCCTGATGGCTGGGTCTAGATGCCTGCATGTACCGTCATCCCACACATGTGGACACTGAGGTTCAGAGAGGCCCAGGCATGTACCTGGGGCACAGAGCTGCCTAGACTGGGGTCGGTGCTCCACCTAGCTAAGAGCCCGACCCTGGAACTCTCCCCAGCCAGGGGAATAGGTGGTAACTGTGTACCTGGAGGGGGGTCTGGGGTCCTCTAGCAGCATTCACCCACCCTGGTGTTGCACAGGAGGAATGGGAGTCTGAAGCAGCCTCTCTGTTCCTCCCATCCTGGTGCACATAAGCTGAACCTGTGTGACGGTCCACGACTTTCTATGGGAAGGCAGGGGCCCAGGATACTGAAGTAGCATCGTGTGGGTGGTGGTAAAGGAACCAGGATGCACCTGTCAGGCATCACCCCTACCTCCAACCCCAGTTCTGCTGCTGGGGACCGCTCTGCCATCTGCCCAGGCCCCACCTTGCCTTCTGGCCTCACGCTGACCCTGGAACCCACACAGAACCCCACCCGCCAGTGATCCGGCCCTCTCTCCTGCCCCCCTCCTCCTCTTGTCTGGTGGACTCCTACCTGGAAGACTGCCGGGCCCCATCCGCCCACCCTGAGACGTGACCAGGACTAGAGATGCCCCACAGCACTCCCGGGCCTGCCCACCTTTCCGTCCAAGTTGGCGATGCTGCAGTTGCACTCGGTGGCCCCGTAGAACTCGCCGATCTGGCGCACACCGAAGCGCTGTGTGAACTCCTCCCAGATGGCCGGCCGCAGCCCGTTGCCCACGGCCAGGCGCACACGATGCCGCCTCTCTGCCTCGCGCACTGGCTGCTTCAGCAGGTAGCGGCAGATCTCCCCGATGTACTGAATCACCTGAGGAGCGAGGGTGGGGGTAAGGGGTTGTTCCCAGTCAGAAGGGCTGCGCTGAAGGGCTGCTGCGGGGAGGGGATCGCATAGGATCTGAGACCTCAGACGCCACCCGCCACCCCCGAGAGCTAACTTCGAGCCAAAACCTAACGGAAGAGCCGCACTCAGTGGTAACGGTGCTGAGCAGCGCCCTCATCTGTGCAGTTTCTACTTGTCCACTCTCTCTGCGCCCCCTATACCCTCAGCTGCTTCCTGCGGACACTCTAAGGCTGTCAAGGAGCCTGGGTCACACGCAGGATGGGAGGGGTGTAGGAGAGCTGCTGCCTCATGGGGCAGCCCTCAGCTCACAGTGAAGTAGGAGGGTGGGACCACTCTGCAGTGTGCTCCAGGCTGTCTCCTGGAGCTCCCCAGCTGGACTGAGCCCAGGTTCCCACAGTACTTCCTGCTGGCAATTTCTCACCTGCTGCAATTTCCCTAGGGTCTTCTTTAGTTACCTCCTAGATACCCCAAGTGCCCTGAAATCTTCATCTTGGGGCCTTTTCCCCAGGAAATCCAAATGAGGTTGGGCGTGGCTAAGCACGGGCTCTATTGCCCTTGGGGTGGCACCACTCAGGCGAGGGCTCCACCCTGTCCTGGAGATCCCCAGCTGGACCTCAGCTTCCGATGCCCAAAGTGTTGCCAGCTCTTCGGGGCCCCCTGCAGAGCTCCTTCCTTCCCTATCTCAATTCATCACTTTCTCACCCAGATTTCTAGGGTCATCTCCTGGATACCCCACGTGTCATCGAGTGTCTGTCTCAGGGCTGGCTTCTGAATGACTGCCCCCACTTTGCAGATAGGGAAATTATACACTGAGCTGGTAAGTGGCATGATCTGATTTCAATATAATGTAATCACCTTCCAGAATGTAATCTAATCCATCTGGGGCACCTCTGAAGAAAGGCCTGGTGATCTACTTCTGAGAAATCAGCCATGGAGAACAATTCCACAATGACACACATGGGGGTCATCAGGAGTCAGAGTCAACTGGGAGGCAACTAACTGGTTTAAAGTAATGTCATCACTTTCTGTGATACAATCTAAGGTAATGTAATCTATGGTTGCAGTCACACCAGTGTGGGGAAGATCCTAAAGCAAATCACTTCTGAGTTATGAAAAGTCCAGATAGACCAGCGACTCCACAATGAGGGAAGACAGCACCATCACCATATGACGACTGTCCACATGCCAAGGACCCATGAGCGCCCAGGACTTTTAACAAGGAATGAATTGACCTGGCTGAGACCTTGATGCAGACTTTCATTTTCCAGAACTGTGAGAACATAAATTTCTATTCTTTAAAGCCAGCTGTTTGTGGTATTTGTGTTACAGCAGCCCTAGGTAACTAAGAGGAGTCCCTGGGCGGTTCAGATGGTCAAGTGCTCGACTCGAGCCAACAGGTTAGTAGTTCAAACCCACCCAGAGGCATCTCAGAAGAAAAGCTTGGCAGCTTGCTTCTGAAAGGTCACAGCTCCCCAGGGGGCAGTGCTACTCCATACAATTGAGGTCACCATGAGGTGGAGTCCACTCAATGCCAACTAACAACAGTAAGGTCACTAAGGCATCAAATCTTAGTTTCCCCACCTGCAAAATGGGTCTTTGAAGCCTTTGCTCACTCCCAAGCAAGTGAGAAGATGCAGGATGCAGGGAGCAGCCAAGTCAAGGGTTCAGCCTGGGTTACACTCAGAGCTGGCTGCTGTCCCCATCCCCATCCAGGGCAGCCGATTCTGAGGGCCCCGGTAAGTGGGGGTGAGGGGTTAGGGCAGGAGCTAACCGTGCAGTTGTACTTGATGCAGTCATCCCAGAAACGGCTGGCTGAGAACTTCTTGCGGATGACAACGGTGAGTCCGTAGATAACACACTGCCCAATGCCCATAATGTTTCCTGCAGGAGGTGGACTGGTGAGGGAACCACGCCTACCGCCTACCCACCCACCCACTGCCCGCCTGGCCCTGTGATACCTGCTGAGTGGTACAGAGGCAGGCAGTCATACAGCACATCCAGCGCCTCCATGCGGTAGGCATGGTGGCCAAAGGCCGCAATGCGGTAGTATCTGCAGGGTCAAGGAGCGTGTGGGCTGGGATCTTTGTCCCTAAAGGGCAAGGGGCATGCTGGGTGCTGGGGACACTGTGGGTGAGTTCAGGGAGCCACTCTAGGAAGCAGGAGCCAGTCAGAGCAAGCTGAGGGAAGGGCGCCCAGATGGGCACGTGCAAAGGAAGAGTGTGGGGCCAAGAAGCGAGTGGGTTAGAGGAGAGGAGGCCCATGACATCAAGGAAGTAGGGGGGCCAGAGAATGCAGGCCCAGGACTAAGGAGGTGCGAGGTGGCAATGTCAAGGTCTGGACAAGGGGGAGCTATGGTAGGAAATGGATTTAAATTCCCAGTGGCTGCTGGGAGAAGTGGGGGTGGCTGGAGAGGGGCCAGGGCAGAGCTCGGTGTAGACACAAGTGGATGGTTCAGCATACAACCGGAGACTGGGACGGACTCTGTCAAAGGGCTGGACCTGTGGGAGGAGGTGGGGGACTAGTGGCCCAGCCCACTGGGTGGGGCGGCACCATCTCCTGAGCCAGCCCCAGGGTTTTGCTGGGTTGGAGTCAGGAGTCAGGAGCCTGGGGGTGGCCTGGCTGGGGGCTCACCTGCTGTGCACAACGATGGCAGCCTTGGGCAGCCCTGTGGTCCCTGACGTGTAGATGTAGAAGAGCCGGTCTGCAGGAGAGGGGGATGGGGATGGGGGACTGTGGGGTGGCATCAGGGATGGGGTAAGCAAGAAGGATGAGGGACAGGGTGGCACTGTGGACGGGGTGGGAAGGACAGGGTGGCACTGGGGACGGGGTGGGGAGGACGGGGTGGCACTTGGGATGGGGTGGGGATTGGGGATGGGGGTGGGCAGTGTCCGGGACAGAGACAGGTCTAAAGTGGGTGTTTGAGGCAGGCGTTGGGGATGAGGAACAAGAAAATGGGTGGCCCTGGGGACAGAGGAATAGGGTGGGAGTTGGGGATAGGAGGATGGGGCAAGTAATTAAGAAAAAGAAATCAGGGGCATTTGGGAGAGGGGCTGGGGTGGGGTGTGGGACAGTGTAAAGGACAAAGACAGGTCTGGGGTGGGTATTTGGGGCAGGCACTGGGGACAAGAGGATTGGGCAGGCCTTGGGGACAGGGGAGCAGGTGGCACTGGGGACAGGAGGACAGGATGGGACTCAGAGACAGGGTGACAGCATAGGGGTTGGGAACAGGGTAGACACTGGGGATGGGGGATGGTAGAGGCAAAAAAGACAAGGAGACTGGGTGGGCATCAGGGAGACAGGGTAGTATTGGGGATAAAATGAAGCTGTAGGCTGGGCATTTGGTGCAGGCACTGGGGACAGGCAGGCAAAAGGACAGGGGATAGGCTGGGTATTGGGGCATGAAGTATCAAGGTCTAGGCTGGGCACTGAGGACAAGGGACAAGGTGTGTATCGGGGACAGGTCTGGGGCAGGCTTTGGGGATGGGGTGGGGAGATGAGGGATTTGGGGAGGCCCCTCTGAACTCACCGTCCATGCCCTTGCTGGGGGCCTGCTCAAGAGGGGCGGTAGAGGCTTCTTGCAGCAACGGGTCCAGGAGGTGAGTGTCCTCGGGCAGGCCAGCCCCAGGCCCCAGGTCCCCGGAGCAGAACTTGAGCAGGCTCTTCCCCAGCTGCCCACTCACCTCGGCCACCGCTGCAGCAAGACATGGATGTCATGGTCAGGGCTGGGGGCTTCCTGACTAGGCCTGGGGCCCATCTCCCTACCTTGGGCAGACTCAGACCCAAGACCACCCCCTACCTGCCCTGTGCCCACCCCAGCCCATGCCCTGCCTCACCAGCTGCCAGCTCCCCTCCAAAGACCAGGGCCTTGGCGCCTGATGTGCCCAGGCAGAAGGCCAGGGGCTCACGACGCAGGTTGATGTTGAGCAGCGCGGCCTCCACACCGGCCTTGGCCAGGCCCAGCCACAGCCCCACGAACTCGGGCCGGCCCTCCAGGAACAGGGCCACCACATCACCTGACGCAAAGCCCAGCTGCAGGAACAGGTGGGCCACGGCATTGGAGTAGGCATCCAGCTGCCCGAAGGTCCAGCACGTGGCACTGACTGCGTCCACCAGGGCCAGGCGCTCGGGATGCCTTTGTGCCACTGCCTGGAATATGCGCGGGATAGTGTGGCCGGCACGCTGGTGATGACGCAGCTCACGGCGCACGCGGATCAGCACCAAGAGGCCACTGGCGAGGGAAGGGACTGTGTCACCTGGGGGCCCCGCCTGGTCCCCCAGGGGCTCCCAGCTCTGTTCCAGCAGCCTGTGGACTCAGGCCCCTCCCCGAACCCAACACTCCCATCTGGACCAGGCCTACTCCTCTGTCACGGTTTGAACTGGATTCCCCACAAATACGGGCCAACTTAACAAAAAAACAAACCCACTACCACCAAGTTGATTTCAATTCACAGCAACCCTACAGGACAGAGTAGAACTGCCCCATAGGGTTTCCAAGGCTGTAAATCTTTACAGAAGCAGACTGCCTCATCAGCTTCCCACGGAGAGGTTGGTGGGTTCGAACCACTAACCTTTTGGTTATCAGCCCAACGTTTTAACCACAGCACCACCAGAGCTCCTTGTTTCAACTTGGCTAGGCCATTATTCTCAGTGCCTTGGCAGTTATGTAATGATATAGTCATCCTGGGTTGTAAATCCTGTAAAGCGTGATTAGGGTGGGGGTGTATCTTGAGTCTCACCCTTTAAGTACTGCATTAAGTCAGTCCCAGGTTATGTTAAAGAGAAGATTAGGCAAAGAGACACAGGCACATGGAGAAAGACAGATATCATGTGAGAACTGTCTGGAAGCCAAACTAAAAGAACCAAACTTAACTGCCGTCGAGTCGGATCCGACTCATAGCGACCCCTCCTTGGGTTTCCAAGGCAGTCACTACAGAAGTAGATTGCCCAGTCTTCCTTCTGAGGAGTGGGTGGTAGTTCAAACTCAGCCTTCTGGTTAGCAGTCAAATGCCTTAGGGACTATGCCACTAAAGCTCAAGGAATCAAGAAAGGCCCAGGCTACCAACAAGAAAGAAGTTGGCAAGAAAGGAAATAACACAGCTGAGACCCTGTTTTGGACTTCCAGCCTCTAGAACTGTGAGAAAATAAATTCCTGTATCCACCTACTCGTGGTATTTGTATAACAGCGGCACCAGGGAACTAAAGCAGGCGGTACTCTCAAAGCCATCTCTGTTCTCCTCAAGCCCAGTTTGCTCTCTCCTGGGACATTATGAATGCCTGGCCCTCACTTCCCCACCACCTTCTGCTTTGCCCTCAGATGCCTCACATTCCAGGCCCATCCCTGAGCTGGGCGCACCCAGGACACTGAGCGTGTGGCAGAGACAGCTGAAGCATCCACCAGCCTATGGACCCCCACCCACGGGAAGGGCTGCTCCTGCTCCCAGGTGAGGCCAGGAGCTGTGTGGGTGGGTGGGGAAGGAAGGGACTCATTCCATCTTCCGGCCAAGGCCCCGGCAGCAGGTTCAAAGTTGGTGTGTCTCTGCTCCCCGTTGCCTTCCAGCTCCCCTGACAGAAGGAGCTGAATCCATGAATGACCTTGTGGAGGGGAATGGCCACCACCCTCGTCAGGCTGCGAGATGAGTAGAAAGTGAACATTTAAAAAATGAAACAAGAGTTGCTTCTGTGATTCTGTAGAAAAATCCTAATCAAAAGGGGGACAAATATAATAAAAAAGATTACAAATTCTCAATGGAATCCAGACTTTCTGGAGCCACTGAGGCTGGATGATCCCCAAAAAACTACTGACCTGAGATTTTTAGATTTAAAGATTTTTAAACCTGAAACTGAAACTATCCCTTGAAGTCAACTTCAGACCAAACCACCACCACCACCCACTGCCATCACATCGATTCCAACACATAGTCACACCCACTGGGTTTCCAAGGTTGTAAATCTTTATGGAAGTAGATTGCCTCATCATCCTCCCTTAGAGCAGCTGGTGGGTTTGAACTGCTGACCTTCTGGTCAGCAGTGAAATTTCTTATCCACTGTGCCACCAGAGCTCCATATGCCAAAGAACATTTCAGGTTATTTAGTAAAGAATGCCAGGCTTGAGGATTGTGCCTTTTAAAAGAAGTACTGCTATGGGATCAGAAAAGGGTAAGAAGAATGAGTGTCTAACTTAAAGAATGTACTTAAAGCCACCAAATTGTACATATAAAAATTACTGGGGTGGTGTATACTTTGCTGTGTATATTTTTAACAAAAAATATAATTGAAAAAAAAAAAATGCTATTGGGACACAAAAGACCTGTACAAAGAAAACTATAAAAAACTACTTCAAGAAATCATAAGAGATCTACATAAATGGAAGAACATCCCATGCTCGTGAATAGGAAGATTGAACATTGTGAAAATGTCAATTCTACCCAAAGCA